AAAAGGTGTATGTATTGAAAAATTAAATGAAAATAAATACATAGCGACGAATATAGTTGAGATAAAAAGAATCGGGTTATTATATAAGTGTGAACAGAGGGGTATCCTTTAGTTCTCATATTTTATTCCCTCAATTTACACTGATATTTTAATGAAGAAAGTGTACATGTATTTTTCAACAAACCACAAACAAGTCTCTTAAGATGTTTTGTTCTTCCTTTGAAATTAAAAATTTACTCATTTAAAACAGTCATTAGGTTTACAATAAGATAATATTAGATAATACCATTTAGTCCATTCAATATACATGTATTGTACTATATCCTTTATTTCTTTTGAAGCTATAAAACAATAAATTCATGAAATTAAAAGAAATCTGATTATGTCCACTTTAGAGTCCGTTCAGACACAAAACATTCATTTCAGTCCTGTGTACAAGACCATGAAACAAACTTAGACTTAAGTCAAAATTTCAATATTTTTTAAAATATTTATTTTGTATTGAATAAATCTCTACTTTTGTATATAACAACACTTTTGTAAAACAATTTTAGGAAACAGTTTGATTTTGGCCTGTTTGACTTCAGCAAAATTTTATAACAACAGAAAAAAAGTTTGACTTAAGCTTAAAATGCTTCATGATCCCAGGGCCAGAACTTACTATTTATCATCACATTCAAATATAGAATTGTTTTTTTCTCCATTTCTCCTTCAAGGAAGAATACTGAAATATCTTTTCAGCCATTATTAAGTCTTTGCTATTCCATAGACGTTGTCGATATTTTGATAAACGTAAACATCATCCTCTTTGTCATACTGGTTATTAGATATGAATTCACTTTCATCATTATTTGAAGCCCTTTCGTTTTTGTTTACTTCAAGTTCAATCGGTAAATGGCCAAACACGGATTCATGGCTCTGAAAAATAAAATTCATTCGAAAATTATTCTGATTTTATTTAAATTATTTTTAACAAAACTAAAAGTGTCATGAAATTTAAGATATAATTTTAGTTGCCAAATAAAAAAAATATTTTGTTTGCTGTAGAACTCTAAACTTTCTTTTTAACTATTTAAAAAAGAGCATTTATATTAAAACAAATTGGTTTGCAAAGTCCAGATTCTTGCAAAAATCTGTGAAAATGGAGAATATTCAAATAACGAACCGTCAAGGATACACACAAATTCTTTAAACAATACCATTATGTGAAGAGGCATAAACACAGACCCCTGGAAATTTCAGATGTTAGAAGAGAAGCCTAGGAGACATAGACAGACGCGCACGAGATTTACGCGTGTATTTGGCCTCGTAAGCTACTGACCTATCGATTTGTCTAATTTTCATTCCAGTAGAATTACCAAGACATCAACTCCACTAACTTTCAAAGAGTTATCACTCAGAAAACAAATAGAAATGGAAATAATTGATAATATATAGTCTATATATTTTAATGTCATGTTGAAGGTCACGGTAAGTTATAATTAAAATTGATTGAATATGACTTTAACTTTTTTTTGGAAATGTATTTCTCTCTGATTTTTTTTTTACTAGCAATTAATTTTACGGATTACACCAAAATTTTAATATATTTTGGTCAAATAAGTAAGTATTGTAAAAAATTAATCCGACCCCTAAGATTGAATTTCGCAGGAGAAAGCAGTGAATCTAGTATATAAAGTGACCCTTATGCCAGTTCATGGTACCGATGTATCGATGTATAAAATTTATTAGCGTTTTGTTGTTGAAGTGGAGCGTTGAAAGATTGTGTTAAATTATCTTAGACACAATCAGTAAATTAATAACAAATAATATATGGATCCTTACGAATGACATGTGCACATAACCTTTCACAAAAAACAGCATGTCAAGTTAATAAGTACAACCCTCGGAATATCATATATAATATATGTTCATCTTTTGAAAATTGAAGCAATTTTCATTCATGTACATGTATCTCAAACAATATTTATTATTGTCTGAACAATGTTTATGATTTAGCAAACGATATAATAAAAAACTAACGATCTATGTCTTACCTCCATTACCTCACATGGACGATGCGCTGTCGGATTGTTCTGAACTACATCAATAATTGTCCCGTATGACGCGTTGTTAAAAACTGTAATTTCTGGACATTCTCTAAATGAATTTTATTGAAAAAAAATTGAAATCTATTCAAATAGTTTATAATGTATATTTTGAGATAAAGGAAAAAATTATAATGAAATTTTTCATACTCTTCTTCAGTTTTTGTTTTCCTCGGTCGTGCATTATGATAAATGGTTACTGCAATAGCAGTTAGGATAATGCATAGGACAAATCCGCCAAAAATAATTCCAAATTTCATGCCGTCAAGATTATTCACTGAAATTTATATCAAAAACTTTATTGTAGGTATTTTCACAAATTCGTTGAAAAGTGAAATAAATGCTAAATGAAGTGTAAAACGAGTTCCTTATTGAAGATTTTCAGTTCGATGTAATGAAAGATGATTTTGTTTTAATCTACCATATATAAACAATCAATTGTTGGTACATTTATATAATGCTGTAAAGTTGGATACCTATAGAATGGTAGATTGACGATTGAGGTTTGTCATCAGGAGGTACTGAAAACAAAAAAAATCTTTAAGTATTTTTAAACTGTATAAGCTTATCTTTTACTAGAAAGTTTGATAATTCGTGTAAGTCCACGACACCCCCACCCTACACAAACACATACACGATTTAAGTTTCCATTATTTTACTTTAGTCAAGAAGATCTTTTAAATAAAATAACAAAGGTATTTGCCTCAGTATAAGAAGTATTACATGCAAATTATTTTTAAGAGCACAGTTTTGAGTTTCATCATTTTTGCTTTATTAGAACACTTAGATATGCAAGTATTCATTATGTTTAAAAAACAAAAAAAAGATATATATGTACAATGATATGAACCTATAAAGAAAGCATTTAGGATCATTCAATTAGGCATATCCACAATAACAAACACTTACAAACACAAGTATTGTTTTGACAAACAGATCCAGTTGGCTCAGAACACTGCTCATTTCGTTGGCAAGTTTCATTCAATTTCAAATTGCCTTGAAATAAGAAAAATCGTTTATAAATTCTTTCATGATATAAAAATATTGTTTGCGAGAGTAAATGATTTCGAACACAGTTCAAGTATAAAATTAAAATATTTCTTTTCTTTTAAAATTCAAAGTTCGTGTCTTTCAATGCACTAGCAACTGTGTACCTTTTAAACACATGTTTCCAAATCCTATATACCCATGTTTGCATACACAAACTCACCTGTCCTGTTAAGGAACATATCTTAGATGCATCTCTGCAATTCTTGGTCCATATGCACAAATCTTTTGTGAGGTGTACTAAAAAGGAATTTTGTGAATTAAAAAAATACTGTTATATAAAATGATTCCTTTTCATATTTGGCAAAATCCATATCATTAACAAAATAATATTAGTTACACAGTCAGTTAGTGACCTAGACGGATTCATACAGGGTGTGAAGTGGAAATCTGTATAGGGCGAGGCGAAGCCGAGTCCCAATACGGATTTCCATTTCACACCCTGTATGAATCCGCATTAGGTCACTAACTGACTGTGTAACGAATTTATTCCACTGAAGACCTTTTTCCATATAAAAAAATATTTGCGCATATGAAAATATTAGTTTTTATCCAATTACAATCAACATAAAATATCGTTACGGTAACAAGAAATTGAACTAAACTGCCTACGTTAACCGTTTCTTAGCCGCCATTTTTATTTACAATAACAGCGCTTCGAACGGAATCGCGTGCCCAATTTTCATATTACGCCTCGATGGAGATGTAATATGGAAACGGAGACGTTATACGGAAAATTTCAGGACGTCATGTGATTAGCTTTTATCCAATTAGTAATCGATAAAATTTGTCTGAAGCGGGATAATCTTTATTACAGGATTGATTACTAATATTTAATTATGGAGCATTGCAGCTTGGTTAAAATCTACATTAAAATGTGTCAAGAATTTTAATGTAATATTGATATTTTTTTTAAAAAAAATTAGAATAGTTTGATGAAATTAAAATCTACTTTTTTGTATATTAACAATATCGGGTCTCCGCTGAGTTAGGCGATATAAAAACGATTTCACTGAAAAGAGTTATTTGACACGTGACATCTTTAACTTTTAGACAATTACTAAACGTTCGACGATATTCAATGATGTCTTTGCATTGAAAAATTAAATGTGTTTTCTTTCAGGTAACATTTTTCTGAACACATTAGGTATCGGGAGTAACTTCCACCTGTCTGGAGAATAACGTAATGATTAGCCATGTCTTGAAAAAACTTCTGCATTGACTCAATACGTATTGATACATTGTTTTAAAATTACAGAATAACGCAACAGCACACAATCATATCCCAGGTTTTAGTAAGGATAATATCAACAGGTGTTTAAATATCTAACTATAATGAATAAGAAATTTTGATTTTTTGAGATTTTAGAGTAGTTTTTGAGGAGTTTTGTCTGTCATTATAGTACGTCACTGTCTAATCGTGCCTTAAGCCGACTTTAAATGAGGTCTCTTTATCTAAAATTCAATTAGAAAGCATTTGGGATCATTCAATTAGGCATATCCACAATAACAAACACTTACAAACACAAGTATTGTTTTGACAAACAGATCCAGTTGGTTCAGAACACTGCTCATTTCGTTGGCAAGTTTCATTCAATTTCAAATTGCCTTGCAAACAAGAAAAATAGTTTTTCAATTCTTTCATGATATATAAGTATAATTGTTTGCGTGAGTAAATGATTTCGAACACAGTTCAAGTAAAAAAAAAATATTCTTTTCTTTGAAAATTCAAAGTTCGTGTCTTTTAATAAAATAGCAAATGTATACCTTTTAAACACATGTTTTCAAATCCTATATACCCATGTTTGCATACACAAACTCCGACCTGTCCTGTTAAGGAACATATCTTAGATGCATCTCTGCAATCCTTGGTCGATATGCACAAATCTTTTGTGAGATGTACTAAAAATGAATTTTGTAAATTTAAAAAAATACTGTAATATAAAATGATTCCCGTTCATAAAATTTGGCAAAATCCATGTCATTAACAGAATAATCTTTCTTACAGGATTGATTACTTGTATTTAATTATGGAGCATTGAAGCTTGGTTAAAATCTACAATAAAATATGTCAAGAATGTTGATGTAATATTGAGATTTTTAAATTCAGAATTAGTTTGATGAAATTAAAATCTACTTTTTTGTACATTAACAATATCGGTTCTCCGTTGAATTAGGCTGTATAAAAACGATTTCACTGACAAGATTTATTTGTCACGTGACATGTTTATCTTTAGACAATTATTAAACGTTCGACGATATTCAATGATGTCTTTGCATTGAAAAATGATATGTGTTTTCTTTCAGGTAAAATTGTTCTGAACACAATAGGTATTGGGAGTAACTTCCGCTTGTCCGGGAAAAAAAAACGTAGTTGTTAGCCATGTCTTGAAAAAAACTTCTGCATTGACTCAATACGCACTGATAAATTTATATATAAATTACGGAATAACGCACCAGCACACAACCATATTCAAGCACTTTTCAAAATAGTAAGGATAATTTCAACAGGCGTTTAAATCTCTAGCTATAATTAAAGATATATTGAATTTTTGAGATGTTCGAGGAGCTTTTTTGGAGCTTTGTCCGTCATTATAGTACCTAACTGTTTAATCGTGCCTTAAGGCGACTTAATATGAGGTCTCTATATCTTAAATTCAATTAGAAAGCATTTGGGATCATTCAATTAGGCATATCCACAATAACAAACACTTACAAACACAAGTGTTGTTTTGACAAACAGATCCAGTTGGCTCAGAACACTGTTCATTTCGTTGGCATGTTTCATTCCATTTTAAATTGCCTTTCAAACAAGAAAAATAGTTTATAAATTCTCTCATGATATATAAGTATTGTTTGCGTGAGTAAATGATTTCGAACACAGTTCAAGTAAAAAATTAAATATTTCTTTTCTTTTAAATTTCAAAGTTCGTGTCTTTTAATAAACTAGCGATTGTATACCTTTTAAACACTTGTTTATAAATCCTATATACCCATCTTTGCATACACAAACTCCGACCTGTCCTCTTAACGAACATATCTTAGATGCATCTCTGCAATCCCTGGTCCATATGCACAAATCATTTGTGAGGTGTACTAAAAAGGAATTTTGTAAATAAAAAAAATAATGTAATATAAAATGACTCCTTTTCATTTGGAAAAATCCATATCATTAACAGAATAGTCTTTATTACAGGATTGATTACTTGTTTTTAATTATTGAGCATTGCAGCTTGGTTGAAATCTATTATAAAATATTTCAAGAATGTAAATGTAATATTGAGATTTTTTAAAATCAGAATTAGTTTGATGAAATTAAAATCTACTTTTTTGGATATTAACAATATCGATTTTCCGATGAGTTAGGCTGTATAAAAACGATTTCACTGACAAGATTTATTTGTCACGTGACATGTTTATCTTTAGACAATTATTAAACGTTCGACGATATTCAATGATGTCTTTGCATTGAAAAATGATATGTGTTTTCTTTCAGGTAAAATTGTTCTGAACACAATAGGTATTGGGAGTAACTTCCGCCTGTCTGGGAAAAAACGTAGTAATTAGCCATGTCTTGAAAAAACTTCTGCATTGACTCAATACGCATTGATATATTGTTTTAAAATTACAGAATAACGCAACAGCACACATTCATATCCCAGGACTTTTCAAAATAGTAAGGATAATATCAATAGGTGTTTAAATATCTAGCTATAATGAATAAGAAATTTTGAATTTTTAGGATTTTCGAGGAGTTTTTGAGGAGCTTTGTCTGTCATTACAGTATGTTACTGTCTAAGCGTTCCTAAAGGCGACTTTAATGAGGTCTCTGCATATTAAAGCTGACACGAATTCTTAAAAACGTAACATTTTCATATAGGTACAACTTGTTTCATACCAACTATAGCCGTATTCCGCCATATTTCTTTGGAGTTTGTTCTCTCTTCCTATATGCTTTTTCTAATAATCATTAATTATTTATATCTAGAAATTTGATTAACATTAAATTCTATTTTGATTATCATTGTACCACTGAATAAAACTCGTTTATTATACCACTCGCAACAAGTTACGTGAGGTATAATGTTTTGACCCGTCAGTCAGTCATTTTTTTTTTGGTCAGCGCAACTCCTCATAAACCACTGCACAGAGTCTTGTTGAACTTTGCAGATATTTATAGGAGACAGTGTGTGTGTATATTTGCACATCACCAGGAAATTCCGAATTCTTTATTTTTTCGGGAATTTTCGCACTTTTACATTTAGTTTTTGGTCATATCTTTAATATAGAGATGAGCAGATTGTCAGCACAATCCTCATAAACCGCTTCACACAATTTCGTCAAACTTTGCAGATATTTAGGACACAATGTGTATAGATGTGCATATTACAAGGAAATTACGACTTCTTTATTTTTTTCTGGGAATTTCAGCACTTCGACTTTCGGGGTAGAGTGGGGTATGTGAACTTGCTCACTTTTTCTTTCATTGTGCATAAAATTTTGAATAACTTTAAATCAAATTATATTAGGTTTAATAAAGCCAATAAACAGTATTCATTTGATAATAATTGATCATAACGAAATCTAATCTGTTTCAGACGTTTTTCTTAAATTATTTTAAGAGAGTGTTATTCATGTTTTATTACAGCCCCCCTTCCTATCATAGGAAAATATCTTCAAAAGGTGAATGATTTGTTATAATGCATGCTTTGTTATGAATTTGATGAAGTAAACCATGTTATCATCAATTTTATTTACAACATTTACAGACAAGAGTTTTGTTTATTTTTGAAAAAAAATACTTGCATTTTTTTTCAATCAACCCCACTGAGCTTTCAACCTTTAATATTTTCCCTGACCAAATAAAGTGATCGGCATGGGCCACGTGTGTCCAATCATCTTTCACTGTTGAGTTAGCAATGGATAACATGACTTCTGAGATGCATTTTTCAATAAAAGTAAAATAGTATGATTCTTTTGGCATGTGTACATCCATGTAACGATAGCATTATTCAGATAAATGAATTTATCACTGCATTTGATGCGTTTTCTCAACCTGTATGGATTTTTGCTGTACATGAGTGTATTCCGTGTTAGTGTATTTTCTATATTGCAGCAAATGCATTCAAAAATAATTTAATTCTCGGTATAGTTCTATTTTTTGTGGAATTTTTACTTTGCAAACATGTATTTGGTCAGTTTATGGACTTCTAAAACCTATGCTATCGGAGATGTATACATGTAGACAGCCAGGCTAGAAAATCACTCAAGTGAAACAGTTGTACAAGGCTATATATATAAGGTACACGTGACCAAACATTTCAATTAAATATGGCGGAATCGAAGAAATATGGCGGAAAAGGCGTACAGGAATGTAGTAAGTCGTACAAAGATGAAAAATGATTGCTTTTTAAGGGTTCATGTAAGCTTTTAATTCAATTAAAAAACATTTGGTATTATTCAAATAGGCATATCCACAATAACAAACACTTCATTCCGTATAATTTAATTTCAATGTAAGCAATCATTCAATTTTTCCTTTTTTTTCTTCGAAAAAAGGCTTCAAATATAACTCATTTTAAAAGATACCGTCAAGCGGAGTAATACGTTTTTGACGTAAGTCATTGTGACGTAGGCAAGTTATGTTACACAAAATGAATAAAACCGTTTAATCAATCAAATGACGTGCTAAAACTGAAACTAAATTATAATGGCTTATTACTCGGTCGGGTGGATCACAATTGGTTACAAAATTTGTAATCGGTTCGTGGGAAAAATAAAATCGTATACAATGTTCTTTAAATTGAAATTTAAAACAGAAATCGCTGCACATGTGGTTTGAAATTTAGCGTTTTATAAAACTAATCTGGAGATAATTGTTGTCCGGGTTGAGACCATGGGGTAATTGGTCAGTTTGCATACCGTTAATTATTCTGCAAACACCTTCCACTGCACAGACCGTCTGGTATATCTTAAATGATGATCATTTAATGCGAGCACTGTGAAATGGTATTTGTCCTATCTATTTCTCTGTTTAATTAACTAAAATATTAGACAAACATTGTAAATAAAGGGTTACAGTTCAGACTTGGTTTAGATTATTGGGATAATTTAACCTTGCAGGAAATGTGCTTTTAAATTAATTGGATTGAGAATTTTCATAGGTGTGTTTTCTAATTAAAATTGTTTTTAAACCGAAACAAAAATATAGTTTTCTGATACAAATCAAGACAAACGAAATGTTTTCAACTTCTGGTGCATGTACCTTTTTAAGTTTTGCTGTGTACATACGGAAAGAGCTACATGTTCTTTGAAAATGTGTACATGTATTTTGATGATACGATTAACAGATTAATCGGCTGAACGTCTAGTGGTTAATCAACTATCAATTCTGCATTCGATTACCATCCCTAAAATATATTTAAGAGAACATACGTGGAAAACACTCCGAATCACTCAGTTGGACATATCCTGGCCCACAGACACAAGTACCGTTCTTACAAACGGAACCAGATGTCACAAAACACTGCTCATTTCGCTTGCATTGGTATCCCAGTTTCAAATTTCCTACAAAAATATAATACTTAACTCATGTTGTTTTGTAAGGATTGCTATTCCTTATGAAAAAACTTTATAGCTTATTTAAAGCTTTAAGTAATAATTCAATAATCTGGAAAGATAGGCGCGTCTGATGAACATTTACCTTTTAAACAATCGGTTCCAAATCCTATATATTCAGGTTTACATATACAAATACCATATTCTTGTGCCCCAGATCGGAAACAGGTCTTAGATACATCAGTACATTCCTTCGTTGTTGTACACAAGTCTTCTGAGAGATCTTAACCAAAAAGAGAAAGAAATATCTCAAATTCATGCAATTTACCCATTCTTAACCACTCATATGGGCTGTTCATTCTATGAACAATTTCTAAAACGAGGTAAGTTGATGAAAAATAAGTTGATTAGACAAGGATGTCGACAGTTGAATGCTGATTAAAATCATAATTCCGTAAATTAAGTGGTCAATACGGTGACCTTGTCAGCAAATAGAATTTATGAGAAACCAGGTACTGCTTGATGTTTTTAAACTTATTGTTGGGCTATTTTTAACACGGTGAATTGTCGGCGGATTTTTTTCAATGTTTCCGACCAGAAGTGGGGGCGAACGGCAGTAAGGCTGGTTACCGGGTGATGCTCGCTGACCTTCAAAGCGTCTGTAAACTTTGATTTCTAGGAGGTCAGTGTTTGTTCTGCTCGAAAATTTGCACTGTTTAATGAACGTTTGAGCTTAAATACAAATAATTTGGGTATCTCAATGTAACGTATTCGTCTTGTTTTTGTTCTTAACTGGTAGGCATCCGTCACGCACGTTATAATAATATGTTCATTTTGATAATAAAACGTCAAAATCCAAAGTGTAATGCACAAAGATACATGTTATAAACACATTCAAATTTCATAGTTTCGCGTTATTCTCGGTGAAAAGTGCTACTGGCTAAAGGTGCTACGTGCTTCCGATGATACTGGAGCAAATTGGTTTTAGGTGTCCGGTGTTCAGGTGCTAGGTGCCACTGATACGATTTAATTTCTTCTAAGTGACATCTTCACTGGACTGGTGCTTACCTTACTCGGTGTTAGTTGCTAGGTTCTTCTAAAATATACTTGACCTAAAATGTGAACATAAATTCTCCAAAAAAACTCCATGTTTGGTGCAAGTGCATCGACTTTCTAAACAATTCCCTACATGCTCAAACTAAAATCAAGCACCCTAAATCTATAGCTTCTGTGTCATTGAAATGAAAAGTATGGCAGGCAAATTTACCATCACCTCATATATATTAAGCGAAAGATAAATTAATTAACTGTCGTATTTCAATCAAACGGTTCAACTTCACACTGAATTGTAAGAATTGATTCAGTTTCACTTGCCAATTTAGATTAAACAAAATGAGCATTCAAAGTGGGAATAATTTACAAACTTTTAATAAAAACTGTGTCTTGCAGGATCAGAACCCCAGCTGCACCGACTGATAAAACAATCTTTGAATTTAAGTATTAAATAAATCAAAGTTTCTAAATTTTCAATATTACTTCAATTCAAACTCGATAAATATTCTTATTGGACTAAAACGTATTACTAAACTACTTCAAAAGAGCTTTTCTTTACTTGCTTACGTTTATAAAATACCTCAGATCAGGTGCAGGGTGCTGTGCAAGACGAAACCTTAATAGGAATTCTGACAAACGCACTTTCAGAATACATTGCCGCAATGATGCATCGTCGACGTCATATGTCTTTCGTAAAACTTCAAAGACTTTTTAAAATATATGTACTTGAATGCTTCATTTACTTATAAAACCTCTTTAAAATTCATTAATCGATTTATAATTTTTATAGCCCAGACGTCTTATCTATAACGTTTTGTACAGAAAATGCACAGGAACATGGTTAACCATGTCGGCATATATCGAACTTATCCCAAGTTCTCTTTTTTCTACCATACTGGTTCTACAATCTTCTGATTTTGTAAAAGTCATTTCAACAAGCATCCAATAAAATAATGGTTATAATTTACAAAGGACTGATTCTCTTAAGTTAACTTGCGAATAATTTTTTTGTGGGGGAAGGCTAAACTTTTATGAAACAATATTTAATTTCACATGTCATTGAACTTAACCTTGAGAAAAAAACATATTTTGAAATGATGCTCGTATATCTATAGTACCACCGAATCCGTTTCTTATTCGGAACTGGTGAAATAATTGTATTTGCAAATGTCTTTGAACTGTAAAGTTAAATGCATTTTTCTTTCTGACAAAACATTCATGAACATGATAAGTATTAGGAGCAACTTCCTTTTGTCCGAAAAAATGTAAAATTTAGCCGTACTTGAAAAAACTACAACATTGACTGGATAAGCATTGAAATATTTTTATTAAATTACAGAATAACCAACAACACACAACCATATCCCAGCACGTTTCAAAAAAGTAAGTTTAAAAGGGCCTAATGTAGTTTACAATATTTTGTACAGTGTACATCATAGTTAAATGAAGCGTATTTACTGAGTGTCTAAAGCAAGCTTTTTCGCTTGATTAATGAAATAAAGCAAAATTAGGAAATAAGAAGTTACAATTTTATATAACTGATTCTTTTAACTGATTTGGCAATTTATAGGTAGGTTGACGTTGTTACTGTGTGTTTTGGACGTTAAGATAAACTAAACTCTTCATGAAAGGGGTAATAATAATGTTATTAAAGAAAAAGTAATAAACATACACTCTTGAAATTTAAAATCAAAAATTTTGAGAATCTTTTCACTTTTCGTACAATTTTTTCACAAGAAAAATTCGTTATTTTTTTTTAATATTTTGAGATGCCCCCTCTGGTGACAAGACGGTAGAATTTTATGTTTCTTATATATAATGTACAACACAGTATTACTCATCAAGTATAATAGTTTGAACAAAAAGTCTATTGTAGTATTTGTATTATTTGATTTAAAGTGCTAAAAATCGGCATTTTCCAATAAAATCCTATAGTTAATATACCTGTATTTTGAGATGGTCCCCTAAAATACCTGGACGGTAGATCTCCCCCCCCCCCCCCCCCCCCCCTAAACTTGACATGTACACTGAAGGTAATGTAAGTTATATATGGTATAAAATGAAGAGTTTCCTTATTGTAGTTTTCACACAATAAAACCCGAGTCAGCCCCCCTCAGATCTTTATTTATAATGAATAAGATATTTTTAATATTTGAGATTTTTGAGGAGCTTAACTTGCCCTTCATTATAAAAATTTAACCGTAAATGCATGTCTTTCGGCGGCTTTTTATGAGGTCTCTACATTTCAAACTCAATCAGACTTCACATTATCGGTTAGAATACCTCACAGAATAGAATAGAATGATATACATGTAAATATATTAGGGATGGCAACTTGTAACCGCTTAACTTATTACTCGGTCGGAAAGATCGCAATCAGTTAGAAATTTGTAATCGGTTAGTCGGAAAAATAAAATTGTATACACAGTTCTTTAAATTGAAATTAAAAATAGAAATTGCTGCAAATTTGGTTGGAAATTTAGCGTTTAAAAAACTAATCTGGAGATTATTGCTGTTCGGGTTGAGACCATGGGGTAATTGGTCAGTTTGAGTACCGTTAATTATTGGCAAAAACCTTTCCGCTGCAGAGACCGTCTGGTATATCTTAAATAATGATAATTTAATGAGAGCACTGTGAAATGGTATGTTTGTCCTATTTCATTCTATATTTAATTGAAATATTAGAAAAACATTGTGAATAAAGGGTTACAGTTCAGACTTGGTTTAGATTATTTGGCTAAAAATAATTAGATTGAGAATTTTTAAAGATGTGTTTTCTAAATTGTTTTTGAACTGAAACAAAAAATGTAATTTACTGATACAAATCAAGACAAACAAAATGTATTTAACTTCCTTTTTAAGTTTTTCTGTGTACATACGGAAAGATCTACATGTTCTTTGAAAATGTATATTTTGATGATACGATGAACCGGTTGATCGGTCGGAACGACTAGAGTTAACCGATTATCAATTCTGCATTCGATTGCCATCCCTAAAATATATTTAAGAGAACATACGTGGAAAACACTCCGAATCACTCAGTTGGCCATATCCTGGCCCACAGACACAAGTATCGTTCTTACAAACGGAACCAGATGTCACGGAACGCTGCTCATTTCGCTTGCATTGGTATCCCAGTTTCAAATTTTCTACAAAAATATAATACTAAACTCTTGTTGTTATGTAAAGATTGCTATTCCTTATAAAAAACTTTAACGCATATTTAAAACTTTAAGTAATATTTCAATAATTCCAGTAAGATAAGCGCGTCTGATGAACATTTACCTTTTAAAAATTCAGTTCCAAATCCTTTATATTTAGGTTTACAGACACATACTCCATATTGTTCTGCCCAAGATCGAAAACACGTCTTAGATATATCAGTACATTCCTTCGTTGATGTAAACAAATCTTCTGAGAAATCTTTACCAAAAAGAGAGAGAGAAGGAAATATTTCAAATTGATACAGCTTACTCATTTTAAACCACCCATATGGGCTGTTCTTTGTATAAACAATTTCTAAAACGAGGCAACTTTATGACAAATAAGTTGATAAGACAAGGATTTCGACAGTTGAATGCTGATTAAAATCATCATTCTGTAAGATAAGTGATCAATACGGTGACCTTGTCAGCAAATAGAATTTATGAGAAACCAGGTACTGCCTGATGTTTTTATGCTTATTGTTGGACCTTTGTTTAAATTTGCACGCTGAATTATCGGCGGATTTTTTTTAATGTTTTCCGACCATGATAGGGGACGGAGGGCAGTCTGGCCGGTTGCCGGATGATGGTCGCTGACCTCCGTAGCGTATGGAAACTTTGAGTTTTAGAAGGTCAGTGTTTGCTCTGTTCAAAAATTTGCATTGTTCAATGAACGTTTGAGCTTAAATATTAATAATCTGGGTGTCTCCATGTAACGTATTCGTCTTGTTCTTGTACTTAACTAGTAGGCATCCATGACGTACGTTATAATAATGGGTTCATTTTTTTTAATAAAACGTCCAAATCCACAGTGTAATATACAATAATAATAAACACATTCAAATGTCATAGTTGCGCGTTATACACTGTGAATGGTGCTACTGACTCAAGGTGCTAGATACTGGAGCAAACTGGTTTTAGGTGTCCGGTGTTCAGGTGCTAGGTGCCACTGATACATTCTAATTTCTTCTAAATGACATCTTCACTGGACTGGTGCTATCCTTACTCGTCGTTATGTGCTACAATGCAGGTTTGTGCTACTATATACTTTATCTAATCTCCGAACATAAATTCTCCAAAAAAACCTGTGTATGGTGCAAGTGCAGCGACTTTCTAAACAATTCCCTACATGCTCAAACTAAAATCAACCACTCTAAATCTAATTAACTTATGTGTCATTGAAATGAACAGTGAAGCTTTATTGTGTAAAAACTGTATCAATGGCATTTTCGAAAGAAAATTTACCCAATAGATTTTTGCTACATGT